TTATCACAGAAGCTGGGGTCTTTGGGTTTATGAAACAGTAGATTACTATAGTCATTAACTACTGTGTCTTGTGCTCCCAACCTATTCCACTGATCCACCACTCTATTTCTTAGCCAGTACCAAGTAAACTTTCAGAATCTTAAGAGTGAATTATGGAAAAGAGATAAAAATGATTTTTTGGAAGCACATTATTGAAATCAATAAGTCCAAGTGGTATATGCTGCGAATTTACAAATTTCTTGAGAAACAAAACTCACTAATGTGGAGATAAATTGGTGCACAGCTAGCTTAATGCTGTTGCTACATTTCAACAAATGTATTGAGATGGGATTCTGCTGTTACTAAAGTCCTCCTGAGATATGTCTTTATGGCCTGGAGTTGATCCTGCATTCTCAAAGGCTATGGCAATGTAACCTGGAATCATTTTGAATACAGTCTGGGTGATAGACTGTGTATTGCCTGAAAACTTTCCAAGTTCAGAGAGGCTCATTACCCGCCTGAAGATTGGCCACAGCACAATGAGATTTTTGGCCACATAATTTGTGAAGGATTTCTCCTAGGATACAGAGGTATTATTTATGTTTGTTGAGAAAGCCTAAACTGACCTAAACTGAGGAAATCACAGATCCTTGAGGCTGGAGTGATCCCATACCATTTCAAAAAAGGATCTGGAAAAGAGAGATAAGATAGCATTGGAAGTTCTTATAGGTCATTATGGGTAGAGTGTGCCCAATTCCCAGAGCCTGTTATTTCATACTTTCAAATTGGTCTGAGCAGGAACTTAAGTGACTAAGGACAGCAATCAGAAACTTTTGCCCAGATATATGGATTCATCAGGGGAAAAATAGGTTTTTGCTAAGTGGTAGAAAATCAGAAAGCCAAAGGAAGGGGAATCTTCTAGTGATTTTGATTTAGTTGACAGTTTGGAACATGTGGTGACTTGGGGGTGGGGTGGGGAGAGGTGCTGATGCAGTTAAGTAGTGTGGTTATTGCCTTTGGGTAATATAGATTAAGTGACAAAAGTACTAGGGGACCCAAGAGAAAATAATTGCTTTTGAGAAAGCAAGGCTAAAAAGTTATTGGTGGTTTGCTTTTTAATTGGAATAGATTTACCTTTCTTTTGTTTTCTAAATTTACTTCCTGCTGAATAAATGTTTCTCTAAAAAAAAATTAATAGAGCCTTAGACAGAAATACTAGAGCCATTAAATCTATAAAACTCTATAAAGTTTAACCTCAGGTTGTAAAAAAGACTCTCTCTTCTGTATTATCTCATGGTAATTGAAATGAGCTATGTCCTTAATGATGATGATTATGTCTATTTTCAATTCCAAAGAGTGTTTTTTCCCCTTGGGAACACAGTTTCAGGTGTTAATATATTCCCACAGCATCTGTGTTAAGTCAGGCAACAGTGTAAAGGAACAGTCCACTCATTAAATGCCTAACTGTCTGCGAATTGGCACTTAGTGTTTTAAAGAGAGCTAATCGATTCTCCCTCTTTGTATTGGCTTTAGAGTTAGAAGACCTAGGTTCAAATCCTGTCTCAGCTTCTTAATACCTGTATGACTTTGGGTTAGTTCACTACACCTCGTTGTGCCTCAGCTTTTTCATCCATAAAAATAAGGGATTGGTCTAGTGATTGTCCAAGGTTCCTTTCAGCTCTAAATCTGTGATCTGAGATCTTTCAAGAGCCCAGTCTAAAATGGAAGCTGAGAGATGTCATAGTAGCTTTGCATATGCTAGCACAGTGCTGGATACACAGAAAGTGCTTAATGAATATTTGCTGCTTGTGACACTAATAAAGTTTATAATTCATGGAAGAAAGCACAATCGGATTACTTTCAAAGTATGAGCTATAGCATTGACTCCTTACCCTAATAAAAGTATTACAAACTTGGTAACTTTTAAATCATGAAAATCCTAAGACCAAGTCTTATGAAAGTATGAAAGTATGCCTGTGTAAGTATGTACTGAACCAGCCTGGTAATCTGCCGCAATGAGGATTTGGAGCCAAAGTACCATTCATGTGGTTGACTAAAAGATACATTTGAAACAGCTAGCTAGCAAGAATACATACTTGATTGATTGCAGATCATTTGTCTTCCTTATTTTTTGTGTACTATTTGGAAAAAAAAGTAAGATTAAACAATTGTTTCATCCTGGTATTTTACAGATTTGAAGAAAAGAGAAATATCTCACAACTGAAACCTTGTACTTATATTTTATAAATTATTTCTCTCAAAATATAAATAAATACCCTTTGGAACAATGTGGAACCTGGGGGAAAATGCTTTTATGCAGTGTTATTTTCAGTTTATGCATTGTAGTTCTTAATGGCAGCTTGTGAATGGAAAGGAAGTTCATAGGGTTATTACATAGTAAGTTATATTGGTACCATAAAAAGATTTGTTTTGATTGCTTTATGATAGGAAAAAGGCTTCTTCTAGCTATATTGTCCTTGTGTTGAGAGTGCAAGGAAAGCAAAAGCCATAGTTTCTTTGATATTGAAAGAATAATAATGTCATAATGCTTCTGATATTTGTTATTTTCAAGTAGATTTCTGTCCCTTTTTGAAGATATGATTTCTTATTCTTTCTTTGATTTGGGAACACCTCTTCTCTCTATTCCTGACCCACCTCCAGTGTTTTATAACATGCACCTATTTAAAAAAATTTGACAAAAATTTAATTTCTTTTCAAGAATTTTGTAACATTTCCTCAAAAAAAATGTTACTCTGATGGTAAAACAAAACCAGAGTTTGAATTTTGTCTCTTCAGTTCAAGAAACATTAAGGCTTTGGTGTGCAAAGTGCATTCTAGGGGAGATGACAATGTTTAGACAAGCCGTAGTCCCAGCTCTCAAGAACAGCTGGGGATGTGACATGTATACTGAAATACACAAATAAATCTGTGATCTCACTGAGGTGATTATTTTTCCATTTATGCAAATTTCAACCCATTCCTGACAGCCCCTCATGTTCTTGTTATTGTTTGTCCATAGCTTCACCCTTAGTATATTCAAGTTCTTTGGATGTAGTAAGGAGCACTGGAGTGCTCAGGATGCCCTTTGGTTAGTTCATACTCATATAGATGTGGCCAACCTACAATTTTTGATCATATGTTTGTTTTGTAATATTCTTTCCATAGTTTCTGATACTGTACTGCTCCATTGCACCTTGTGTGATCCTCAACTTCAGTTCTTTGGAGACTGGAGTTTTTCAATGACTTGCAACCATACAGCATCATTGGAAGAATATTGGTATTAAAAAGATGAGCTTTTGTTTCCTGAAAAGGTTTTTGATTTTTAAAAGTACTGTTCCATTTCCCAGTGGTGAGCCCAAAGCCTCTCCTCATGTTCAATCCTGGACCTACCTCATTGTCCATTTGTTTCACCTGTCCTAAATATATGAATGGATAGGTTCTGTAGACCATCCATCAGCAGCATCTTGTAGTCTGAATGATTAGGCATTCTCACTCACTTGTGTCTTTTTTTTTATCTCCTGTGTAGTTAGGCCACATGTTTAAGAGATTATGAATGTTGTTTAGGAGACCACATTGTTCTGAAATTGCTTGAAGAAGAGCATTTAGAAGTCCTCATTATCTATTTGAAATTTCTCTGTTTTTAAGTCTGTATTGGATCTCTTAAATGATGGTGGTAAACACCTTGTCTCCCTGTTCACTGGCAGTCATTGTATTAATTAATCAGTAGGTTGTCAAATAAAGTTATCTTTTTTCTATCTTTTTAGGTATACACATGTATATATGTACGTACATATATATGTCTATGCATGGAGGACTTGCTGAAAGCCTCATTCTGCTCTGTCAAATCAAATATTTTTTAATAGCTAACAAATAATATGCACAATGGAATCTTTAATTCTCTGTATCTTTTAATAATCTGTATGATGGTAAAAGTGTGATCTCCTATGGATATTGTTTGTGAAAGCTTTTCTGTTCCTTTTCAATATTGTCATCAATATGCAGATTATTTTCATAAAATGTTTATTTAGATGGGAAAACAGGCAAATGGATCAGTAGTTATTGGTATTTTCTAAGTTGCCTTTTTTGGGTAGTGATAAGATGTAGTTTTTTTTTTTTTACTAACCCCTCCCTCCTTTTTTTCCTCTTCACTTCTTTTTAGATCCCTTGAAAATAGGTGTGATTGAGAATCAGTTCTCTCAAGATTGTCCAGCATAGATATCTTCCATGTATACTTGGTCTAGTCAGTCTACTTTTCCCATCTTTGTTTTCTTCAGTGCTTTTCCCAATTCCATAAATACTAGGATTGTGATGTCCAAAATGTGGCCGTCTATTGATGGTGAAAAGAATTTGATATAAAATAGTTTTTGTGCATCTTTCCCACCTTTCTTTTATTTATTAGTTTCATCTTTATATATACTCTAGATAATATTTATTTAAAGTTTTTTTTAAATGTAAAACATTTCCGTATTAGTCATTTTGTACAAGAAGACTCAAAAGAAAAAAATGAAAGTGAAAAATAGCATGTTTCAGTCTGTATTCAGTCAATATCGATTCTTTCTCTGGAGATGGAGAGTATGCTTCATCATTAGTCCTTCGGATTGATTGAGATTAGGTGATTGGCTCAGGATCACATAGCCAGTATGTGTTGGAAATGGGATTTGAACCCAGGCTTTGCTGGCTGTCCACTATGCCGTACTGCCAATAATAATTGTTATTATAGAACAAAATTGATGTAGCCAATTAAGAATTGCTAGAAAGGTTTTTTTTTCTAAGTTCTTTTTTTAGGAAGAACTGTGTGCTTCAAAGTGTATTGTTTGGAAAGTCTTTAAGATACATATGATTTTCTTTTTATGAAGTAGTTACTCAGAATAGATATTATAATTACATTGTAAAATTTCAGAATTTATGATTGTCACAATTATTAATTATTGGATAACAGTATAAATGAAATATTTAGGATTGCTTAGAAATGTGCAAATAATTTTTACAATATAAAAAACTTAAGATTTTTTTTTTTATAGGGCTTCATATGTCCCCAGTGTATGAAATCTCATGGATCTGCTGAAGAGCTTTTCAAACATTATCAGGCAGTTCATGACTCTGGTAATGAATCAAGTCATGGAGGAGAGGCTTTAAAACGGTAAGGTGGAATCTATTTGTAGGCCAATATCTGATGATGTTACATGCAGGTTGACCCTACATGCAGGTTGAAAACCAGTTTTATGTATGCTTATAAAAAGTGCTGTGTAGATGTCTGCCTTCCTGTTGTCTTTGTCCTCTCTGATGGCAACCGGAATGGGTTGGTGGGAGGCTGTCCTGTGATTGTTGCATTTTTCAAAAAGCACAACTGGAAAATGTTACTTTTTTTAAACATATGTTCTTCTTCTGTATTTAAGAGTCAATACAATTAATAGAACTTTAAAACTCAGTTATATAAACTAAATGGCAACAAATATACATAGTTATTTGAAGATTTAAAAATGAGGCAAAATCAATTAAAAATAAAGGATTAACTGTATAAATTTACTTTTTTACTACTGCTTGTGAAAATTCTTTTTATACTTTTTTCCTATTGAATCTAATCTTCAGTTCACATTGTTTTTTATAATATAATATAATGTGTCATCACAGTATTCCTTACTTACTTGAGGGTGGAGGGACTGCTTAGATGATTATCACCAGAAAGTTGGCCTACCAACTGATTTTTTTTTTTTAAACTCTAGCAACTCCGCTGAGGTATGAATGAGTTATAGGCTGTCTTGGGAGTAGTACTCTCACTTGTGAAACTATGAGTCTTTTGAACTATTAAAGTATAGAGTGGTTAAATATTTTTCACAAAATTTTAAAAAATATTTTTAGCATAAATTCTAAAAATTTATGTGCATGGTAACACACAAAGTAAACATTAAGAGCATTTCTATGTCATAAGCAGATACCATAAAATATAAGCAGATACCATAAAATATTGTTAGCTTAATTTGGTTTTTCTAGTTCATGTGTCACCTGAATTCCCAGGTCTGTGTCAAGACTGTCACAAAGATAAGCTTCATCCACTTAAGAGTGTTGAATCTGGAGCCCACCTATTCTAATTTGTAGTGACCTCTTTACTAATACATTTCTGGTGACACCTTTAATTTTGACAAGAAGTTCCTTTATAAAGCTTTGATTATTCTAAATTAGTCCTTAGTAAATTATTCCCTAGAATAATTTTATTAGTGATTTGGATACTATTTGAATTTTAAATTCTGCATATAATTTGTGGCAAATTTCAGACTATTAGTTTTGAAAAAAAGAATAAAGAATAAGAGCACCAGTGATAAATAGACATGGTGCTTGGATCTTTGCCTGGTAGGCTTGCTCTCCAAATGAAATTGCAAATGTATTTTGTATTTTTGGAAGCTCAGTAAATCTTAACAGAATTGCCTCCCAATATTTCTGGATATGACAAGTAAGGAGAAATAGTTCTCTCTTCGTACATGAATTTTTGTGTTTTTATTTTTTTATGTGTTTTAAAACTTTTGAGTTTTTTTGAAAGCATTTATAAAATGTTCTCATTTGGTATTTTGCCAGTAAAAATGTCACATAAAAAATGTAGTCAGTATTAAAAAAGACATACATGTGTTCATGTTTAACTCTGAGTCTGAGTTTGTTTAATAAAAAATGAATCCTGTCATTTCCTTTTTTTTTTGTTGGCTAGATAATGGGGTTAAGTGACTTGCCCAGGGTCACACAGCTAATAAGTGTCAAGTGGTTGGTCTGAGGCGGGATTTGAACTCAGGTCCTCCTGAGTCCAGGGCCGGTGCTCTATCCACTATGCCACCTAGCTGCCCCCCACTGCACCACCTAGCTGCCCCTGATCCTGTTATTTTCCAACATGTGGATGTCCAACATACAAGTAACTCTCATTTACAAATAGCTGTTAGGCAAGGACTCACGTCCCTCATTGTATTTATATAATTCTTCTGCCTACTATTGTTGCAGTTGATTATCTTCTTCTCCTTTCCCTGTCTATTTGGCAGAGTTATCCATTCTTATTGCTGTAACTAATCTTGCTCTCCTATTTTTAGCCCTTCCCTGTGCTGTCCTACTGTCTCTCAGTTTTCTTTTACCAGTGCTGCCGGTGGCTTATGACTTAGTTAGTGTATTGCCTGACATTCCAGATCAAAAACTCAAATACATTTTCCAAGGAAAATCTTGTTTTAAGGGGCAGTTAGGTTTTGTAGAAGTGTTGATGCTATAGTTTAACTGCATAGTGGATTAAATAGGCATCTACATGCTAGCCTGGGAACCAATTTATAGCAGTATTTCTATGAGAGAATGTGTTCTGAATGCCAACCAACCCACTTAACCAGTTTTTCACACACACACACCCCTTTCATCAGTTGGAGATTGGTTTGTATATAGAATCTCATACCAAAATATTTTTAGGGTAGAGAGAATTGACATGTTAATGTCCAGTGATATGGCAGATATTTTATTAATAGACAAGATTAGCTATTATCTATTTGAATATACTAATGCAGTATTGCTTATTGTTTCCTTTTGTTTCCATGTATGTTCAGAGAAGATGTGATACTACTCCGGCAAGAGGTCCAAGACCTACAGGCTTCACTGAAGGTTGGAAAGAAAATGTTTTGTATTTACTTATTTTCAGTGTTTTAGATAAACAATTTTAAAAGCTTGTGAGCTAAAAAAAAAACTCCTTTTCTTATTAGGAAGAAAAATGGTACTCAGAAGAGTTGAAGAAAGAATTAGAAAAATTACAAGGGCAGCGGCAGCAAGTAATTGCTTTAAAATACTTGAAGCATGTTTATGTGGAGCTATTTAGTTTTACCATAGAGATTGAAGATTAATACCTTTTTTTGTAAGGCAGATGACCTGATACAAATGACTTGAAAATTTGCTTCCTTATGGGTAATATCAAGTGTGCTATTTCTTTTTAATTCAAATGAATGGTATATGGAGATTTTTTAAAAGTCTTACTTTGGTTATTTAAATATAAACCCAAGTAAATAGAAAAATGTAAATCTAACAACATTGAATTTAATCAGACACATAAAAAGATATTTTACACTTGGTAAGGGCATAACATATATCATATATATTTGGAAAATTCCATTAGAATTGGTTCTAAAAGCCAGTTTCCCAAAATTGTAAAACTTAATTGTTCAAGAGCTGATTGTTCAATTTCAGTCTTATTTGGGCTATTTTCTTTTGTGCATGATGTTTGTGTTGTGTCTGTTATGTTGAGAGTTATCACCTCTATTTAAAAATGAAAGGGATAAAATATCACTTGCTAAATCAGCTTTTTTAATTGGGAAGGATTTTGAAACTAGTAAGGATTTTTGAGTTGTATATTTCATTTGTTCATACTCTTTGTTTATGCTATAGTTGCATGGCTAATCAAGCATTTTCTGTATCATGGTTTGTATCTCAAAGCAAATAGAGAAGTACTGGTTTCCTAGATTTAAAAAAAGATTTTTCTTAATCTCTTGTTGAAAATAATTTCTGTAAGAGGGAAGAGGCAGTTGCAGCCATAGAAAATTTACTTTCAGAAAAATTAGGAAATAAAATTGTTTAGAAAAACTGTTATGATGCTTAGTAGCTAGTATCACTTAGTTCCATTGTACTAGATGTAAAAATAAAGATATTTTCGTAATCTGAAAATAATTTTTGAGTAGTATGTTTTAAATCATGAAATACGTATTTCACTGAAGTTTTGGAAAAAAAAAACCATTAACTTTATTGTTCTTTCTTTGAAAGGTTTTTTATAATGCACAGTTATTTTAAAAGTTTACCTTTAAAGCCACTTATAGTGCTATAATAGCTGACTTTTCCGTAGCATTTTACATTTTTAATGTGCTTTACATTCTTATTGACCCTTGTAATAGTTCTGAAAGACAGGTAGTAAAAGTATTATAACCTATTTTGTACTTGAGGATGTATAGAATAGGTACTTAATAAATGCTTGGTGATTGAGGAAACTGAAGACAGAGAGATTAATTGCCATTTGGCCAATGACACACTTAATAAATAGCAAAGTAAGGACTCAAACATAAGCTTTCCAACCTCAAGTCCAGGGCTCTTTTCTTGTTCCAAACTGAATCTAGATATTTATCCATTCTAGAGTCCTGCACATACACAATGGCCTATGATAGAGGTCAAATGGTAAATTCTATTAGGTGAATTGAGAAGGTGCTTGAGAATAATTTAGTTCTTTAATTCAGAAGTATAAACAACTAATCAACAAAGCACTTATTAAGCACATACTATGTGCTAGGCACTGTGTTAAAGCACTGGGAATACAACGAAAAAGCAAAACCAGTCCCTGCCTTCTAGGAGCTTACATTCCAGTGGAGAAGACAGTACATAAGTAAATTGGCGCATGCAAGATACCCACAAAACAGCTTCAAGGTAAACCTAGATGAGAGGCATTAGCAGCTGGAGATTCTGGGAAAGGCTTCTTGCAAGAGGTGGTCCTGGAGCTGCGTCTTAAAGGAAGCTAAAAATCCTAAAAGGTATAGGTTAGTAGGGAGAACTCTTTCCAGGTCTGGGGGACAGCAACATGCAGAAGGAGATGACTCGTCATATGTGAGGAACAGCAGCAGTGGGGTATGGTTGAACCAGAGTGTGTGGAGGCAAGTAATGTGTTTGAAGACTAGAAAGAGAGGAAGAGACTAAGTTGTGAAGAGCTTTTAAATGCCAAACAGAGCATCCTATAGGCACTAGGGAGCCATTTGAGTTTATTCAATAGGATGCTGGCATGCAAAGACTTATGCTTCACGACAATCATTGGTTGCCATGTGGAGGATGTGTTGGGTTGAGAAGAGACTTGATACTGAGAGTCCAATTATAAGGCTATTACAAAAGCACAGGGGACCGAGCTAGGGTTGTGCTGTATGAGTGGAGAGAAGGGGACATATATGAGAATTGTAGAAAAAGAAGTTATGAGATTTGTCAACTGATTGGACATGTGGGGTGAGTGAGAGGCTGAGGATGACACCAGTTTATTAAACTTGGATGACTAAAATAATGGTAGTGACTTCAACAGAAATAGGGAAATTTGGAAGAGAGAAGGATTTGGTTTGGACTTGAGTTTGAGATGTGTATATGACACACATCCAGTCAGAGCTGTCCAATAGATAGTTGGTGAGAAAGAGAGACTTGGGCTGGATAAGTACATCTGGGAATCATTTGTATAAGGGTAATAATCATACCCATAGAAGCTGATGAGGGGGTTGATAAAAAAAATTGAGCCTTGGGGTAACCTCACAGTTAATGGGCATGACATAGATCAAGAACCATCAGAGGAGATTGAATACCCCTTAATAGTTCCTGTTTACATAGTACTTTGAGATTTTCAGACTGTTTTCCTCATAATATTTCTACAAGGTAGATAATATGTTATTGTCCACATTTTTATTGATGAAGAAAATGAATTTGGAAGTGTTTAAGTGACTGCCCCAGGCCTCAGAGCAAGGACTTGTACCCAGGTGACTCAGTTCTGCTAAATGAAGTCAGTGAGCTGAAAGAATGAGGGCGTTTCCCAGACTCCTTACTTATCGTCACAACCTTATTCACTCAGTAGCATCTGACCTTTAGAATACAAAGTCAGACACTATTTGTCAGTTTTTAAGACAGTGTTGCCTATGCCTTCTACTAATGTTTGTTTTATTTTCATTAAGGAATTCAAACCTGATGGATTGGCAGCAGATTCAGCAGCAGGTAAATTTGTTTAAGTATGAAGTTCTGCTTAAAAATTTCATTCTATTTTAGTGAATTAAGACTATTGATTCACACTGGGTTCAAATATTTGTGTGCATGTTGAATGTAGAATGTAAGCTCCCAGAGGGGAGAGACTGCTTCTCTTGCACCTAGCAGAGTACCTAATAAATACATAGTTGGTGCTTAATAAATGCATGTTAACTAATTGATTTGACCTTCATTATCTAAATTAACCAAAATATTGCTTGCAAATTTAATATATATATATTAATTATATATATATATATATATATATATTTAGGTGTGGGAAAATTGAAATTAATGGCTAAAATTATGTTTAGGAGAGTTAGCTTTTACACTTAATTTAGCCACGAACATTAGGAGTTTATGGTATGTTATGTTTGGCCTGGGCCTTAATCTTATATATTTTTTTATTAAAAAATTGTGGCTAATAATTTGGAACAAATATACAGAATTCAATTCCAGGGAGAGGTATGAAGGAAAAACTGAAAAAAAAAATCCCTTCCCTGAAGGAGTTTACTTTTTACAGAGGGAGAACCTGTAAGCAGATAAGTAAATACTTAGAACATTTTGAGGATAGAGAGAATGCTGATAGGGAGCAGGAATAGTTTGAGTTAGGAATAAAGGGCAAAAGTTTTCACCAAAATAAAATCTTTAAGCAGAAATGTTTACAAATATGTCGAACTTTTATCTATTTTTCTTCTATTTTGAAAGCTGGTAGGTTCCATGACTTCTTTTATCTTGGTTAGTTCAAAATACTTAATTTTTATGAAGTTCCTCTTATGTGCAAGGCACGTGGATGGACAGAAATAAAACAGCCTTTGTCCTCAAGGTACTTAGATTCCATTGTGTCATGAATGAGGATGATATGTATACAGACAAGTAAACCCCAAAGGTCCTCATAGTAGGTTTTTTTGGAGCATAGGGGCACTAGGAAATTAGGGAGATCAGGAAAGACTTGATGAGGTAATAGCAGTAATCTGAACTGATTTTTGACGGATGCTGGAGTTTGGAAATGGTTTGACTTCTAGGTAATAGGATAGTGTCAGTAAAATCGAGTGTAGCAGCAGTTGTGTTATCACTACTGATAAGAACGACGTAAGGTGCTCTTATGATTGGAATCAATTTTGAGTAAATATTATACTTTTTCTAGAACTCCAGTCATTGGAACAACAATTAGATGAAGCCCAAACTGAAAACTTTAATATTAAACAAATGAAAGACTTATTTGAGCAGAAAGCAGCCCAGCTTGCTACAGAAGTTGCAGGTAAGTTGTCAGAATTGAATATTCAGAAAACATGTCTTTACATTACTCTGTGTCCTTTGGCTACAGTTTGATTAAGCATCACTTAGTTTCTTTAGAATGTAACAAGTGGACATGAACCAATATTTCTGTTTGGGGTGCTTGCTTTGTTGGTTTATTTGACAAAAGAATTTTATATTTTACCTGCCTAAAGATATTTTTTCTGCCCAAGTATAACTGACAGCTATATAAAATATAATTGAAAAAATCAATTAAGAGACGTGACATAGTGGATAGAGGCCCTGCTTTGGAATCAGAAAGTCCTAGGCTTAAGTCCTGCTTCTGATACATACTTTATGACTTGGAACAAGTTACTCTATATCTCCGTGTTCCTAGGTAAATCTCTGAAATTTGGAGTTACAGACCAATTGCTGATTTGTTCCTTACTGGGAACACAAAAAATAGTGGAACATTTTAACATGAAAATTGCTCATTCCTTTCTGTTGAAAAATTTTAGGTAAATTTGGGCTTTGACCTATATCTTCCTTTTTATTTTAGATGATTTAAAAAAGATTCAAGTGCTAATATCCTTTTATAGAGTGCTGTTACATAGTAACTTAATTCGACTTAGAATTGAAATAGACTTTGCCAGGTTAAGTTATTTTAAAATTCATCATCTTGAGGGGGGAAGAAAAAAGAACTTTTGCAGTTATTTATCAATATGATTGTATGATAAGAGAATGAATTTGAATCAAAGAATTAAAAATCATAGAAATAGCTTTTGTGTAACTATATTTATAATTAGATATAAAGTCAAAATATGATGAAGAAAAGGGGCTTCGAGAAGCTGCTGAACAGAAGGTGACAAGTTTGACAGAAGAGCTAAAGAAAGAGACAACTGTAATTCAAGATCTAAAGACTGAATTGGTAATTCAGATCATATGGTACAAATTTGTTTCCTTTTTTCTTTTAAAAAAATACACTTCAGGGACGTTAGCTTTATCTAAACAACAATGTATTTGTGACTATTAGCTTTGTTGTGTGATGATGACTTTAATCCACAGCTCCAACTTTGGCTTCAATCCAGTATTTCCAAATACCTGTGAGTCTGTTGACAAATCAAAACCCAAATTTATCATCTCTATCCCTCCTCCCCAGCATGCATTTGCTTCTCCCACGTATCTTATCCCTGTGCTGTCTTTTGTGTCTGCAGATCCTGGTCTGCTGCTTAAAATGTCTTTCCCACTTAACATTTTACCTAAGAATTACCCATCCTTCAAGGATTGACTCATGTCCCATCTATTATACTTCATTCCATCCACATAGGACTCTTAACATTTCTGAACTCTTATAATTAAATTCATCTACACAAATATTTGTAGTATTTACAGTTGCACCATGTAATTTAGCATGTTATTATTTTTCTAATTTTTCACATATGTAAATATTATTTCTCCAAGGCTTTAAAATCTTTTAGGGAAAGGGCAATGTCTTACATTCCTTTTATATCTCTTGTAATTTCCAGCATAGATTTGGGCACCCAGTAGTCAAGAAGTGTATTCTGTGTATTCAAGTGTATTCTGCTTGATTGACTGCCCCTGCCCAAACGGTAGAGGCCTCTTTCATAAATATCTTGAGGTGTCATACATTGGAAACCTAAATATCTTAATGAGAATTTTCCACTATTTTAAATTTGAAAATTGTTTTTCCAATAACATTATAATGTGTGTATATTGTATATGCAAAGTATACATGTTAGAAATCTAATTTGTAATAGGATTTGTTTACTCTTTAGGATTGTAATTTGAGCACTGAAAGGCAGTATGGGGTATGGAGTGAGAAACGGTAGACCTTGGAGTCAGGGTTCAAGTTCCACCTCACACATACATATTAGCTCTGTGATCCTGGACAGATAAAACAATGCCACCGGCAACTCTCTGAAACTAAAAGATAAAAACAAGTTGTTACATACCATCAGTGGAGGTGGTTTGTACATAGCATAGAGAGAGATCTCCAAACATGAAATTCTATCCTGGGGTCCTTCCATTCCTATTCCCTCCACCTCCCCATGCCCCCCACCCCCCGCCAAAAAAAAAAAAATGGGAGAGAGAACATTGCTTAATTTGTGTAGCTATTTGATTTGATGAGAGGCAGCATGGTGTAGTGGATAGAGATCATTTTGGACCAGGAAGACTTTGGTTAACCTCCTCCCTCTGACACATACTGGCTGTGTGACCAGGCAAGTCACTTAATACCTCTTGGTGGCAATTGAGAGATTATGTAACTCCAAGATTCAAGTTGCAGAAAAGGTACTGACCTGCGTTGGTAAGAAGAGAGACTTTGCTCATCTGAAAGTTTCCTATATCAGTGAAATCATAGGTCCAGTTCTTGGATCTGTTCTCTAACTCGGCAGGCTGTTGCTATGGTCATTTGTTGCCATGGCATTGAACCTGGAGAATTATTTCTGTTTGTCCACTTTTTAAAGTGGCAGAATAATTGGAACTGAGGCACCAAATGGAACCCTATGCAACTGTATTCATTTTTAAATATCACATCAAGTGTAGTGTATTTGTACATTATTAAACCGTTCTAGGTTCATGAAAACCTTATTTTTGTTATTTTGACTTTAAAAAGTTACTACCAATAATAGTTTCCTAGTCTACTTTACATCGTATAACTTCTGCTACAGACTGTACATGATGTTGAAAATATTTATTGTATATAAAATAGCATTCTGTTAAAGGTTCATCGGCAGGCTTAACTCAGTTGGTTACACTTTATGCACCTGATGAGTTTCTGGGTTGCTTGGAAAGTTAATTCTGAGTATTTTATCATAGATTACTATCGAGGGCCATAATATATTCATACGTGTTTCTATGTGTGAAATAAATTAGAAAGAACAATTACCAGCATTTGGGTAGCACTTTAAGGTTTATGAAGTACTTTACAAATATTTTGTCATTTTATCTTCACAACAACCCGGGGAGGTAAGTGCTGTTATTATCTCTATTTTACAGATGTGGAAACTGAGTTAAGCAGAAGTAATGTGACTTGCCCAGGGTCACACAGCTCTAAGTGTCTGAGGCTGAATTTGAATTCAGATCTTCCTGATTCCAGGCTTAGCACTCTATGTACTGTGTTACTTAGCTGCTTCTGTCTTCAGATATCCATTTTAAGTTTCATTTTACTTTTGTAAACATGAAGTATATTTCCATTTTATCCTGTCACAGAACTCCTACATAACATTAGTCAAAAAGATAATCACTTTACAATTCATTCCTAATTCTGTTGGAAATTTTCACTGACTCCATTATGGTATATGAATTTTTAAATAGTGGTAGTTTAAAAATTGCTTGCATAAGAATTGTTCATATATTGATTACTTTGTAATGAAACCATAGGAAATATGTTTCATTACAGACATTATAATTTTTGATTCAATTTTGCTTCCCTGCTCATAGCTTCAAAGACCTGGTATAGAAGATGTTGCTGTATTGAAGAAGGAGCTGGTTCAGGTTCAAACTTTAATGGACAACATGACTTTGGAGCGTGAGAAAGAGTCAGAGAAACTCAAAGAGGAGTGTAGAAAGCTACGAACTGATTGTGTTAACTCAGAGGTAATGAAGTTCTGAGATACCTAATCATGATGACTTCACTGACTCTGTAAACATGTGTAATATTTATGCATGTGTAGTTTCTGGAGACTTCTACTTTTCTTTTCTTTAGACCCATTAGTATTAGAAGCAAATTAAAAAAAAAATTAAGCTTATATGCCACATATAATCTGTATTTTAAATATAATTTTACATTTAATATTTGAGGAAAATATTGCTAGGATGAGAAAATTCTGGTTTTTTTATTGCGCTCCTCCTCAAAAAAATGCGCCAGATTTGTGGGTGCTGTCAGTATATTTTAAGTTCAAAATACCATGTCCCAATTTAAGCCTGGGAGCCAATCTATTAAAAAAAATCAGTGAAGAAGGAATGAGAGACAAAGACTTAGAAATGTTTCAGATTTTATCTTTTTTATTTTAGAAGATGCTGATTATATAGGTTTTTTTCCTCCTTCTAGTTTATAAAAATGCTTTTTGGAAGTACTGTTACTTAAGGCATGTTATGGTTTGGCAACATTTGACTGAATATTTTGATGAATGATAGGTTTAATGGGTGCTTTTGTTAGCGCTGGCTTCCACTTTTTATCCATCATGTTGTGTTTTGTTTCTTTGCTTTCTAATGGAGATACTTAAATTTGAGGTACTTGTTTTCTGAAAGCTCTCCAATAGTAGTAATACTCTTTATGTTACATCTTCCCAAAGCATTGTAATTTTCTTTCACAGTAATTTCAGAATCTTAGACATGTAATGATTTGCTTTGTTAATCAAGCAAATAGTTTAACCAACAATTTCTATAAATGATCACTTACTGACAGTGGTAGCTTAATACATTGTTAAACAATAGATTATTATGTTACATGATTCACAGTGTTGTCTTTCATTATTGTGGTTTGCTTTTCGTAATAAATGTTTGCACATAATGCTGTGGCTAAGACAAATACAGTGTTTTGTGGGTTTGATACTCTGAGGAAGGCATAAAGAAATGTAATGTTTTTATCTCTTTGAAGGGGGATTAATTTAGTTAGTCAACTCATCTTGGTAATTTAGCCATTCTATATTCCTAAATGCTAATGGCAAGTGGGAATTTAGTTCTCTTTTTTCTTTTACTGTATTGTAATTATGAACTTGTCAAAATGTCTGTATGCAATGGACAGAGCAAATGATACTTAGTGTTCATACTGGAGAACAGTTTGGTTTGATTTAGTGGTGTGTCCCTACTGCCAACTTCTCTTCTATTTTCATAATATTTAGTCCTTGCTCTGCCATGCTTTTTCTGTGTGGCAAATGATTTAACCTCCCTGGGTTTAGTTTCCTCACCTACAATGTGCTGGACCATCAGATTATTTCTAAATTTGCTTTTTCAAGTTATGAGTAGATAACATAAAAGATAGGGCAGTATTTTTTCTCCTTGTAAATTTTGTTATTTTCTTTCCTCTTTATCTATTAGTAAGATGAACCATTAGTTGTATTTACCTGTTTTATTACATTTATTTGTAAGGCAGCTATTATAGATAATTTTTATCAGCATGAAAACTCCCTGTCCTGATGCAAATTGTGATCCACCTTTAACCTAGCAGATAAGTTGTAGGGTTGTCTGAGGCTCAGAAAGGTAGAGTGACTTAAGTGCCTGTTGTCCTTGTAGCCAACCTAAATCAGTAAATTCCATGTCACTTCTTCTGCTGCCTGGGACCAAGCAGAATGAGTCTAATGCTTCTAATGCTTCTTAAACAGAACAGCCTTTCCAATACTTGAAACTGACTTTCTTGTCTCCATCCATTAAGTCTTCTCTTCCCCAGTCTTCACACCCCTACTTCCTTCCATTGATGGTGCGATTTTAAGGCCCTTTCCCATCACAGCCAACCTCTGAATGCTGTCCTGTTTCTTCTTATTCCAAAAATGTGGTGCCCAGAACTGAAGACAGTCAACCAAATGTAGTATGACCACTATAGAGTCCATGAGAGTCATCTCCTATGTTCTGGGGGCTTCACATGGCTTACAGAGGTCCAGAATCACTTCAGCTTTCTTGGCTGCCCTATGATACAGCTGGTTCATATTGAGGTGGCAAACTACTGAAACCTGTTGTCTAGCAATGCCTTTCTTGCCTTGACATCCCTTTGAAATTTGATGCATGACCCTAGTCTGTTAAGAAATTCTTGGATCCTGAATCTACCATTTAACATGCTAACTGTCCTTGGCTTTGGGATATCTGCAAATTTGATAAGCTATCCATCTATACTTTTATCCAAGTCATTGACAGTAGTGTTAGATGACAGGATGTAGGTCTGTCATAATAGATTTTAATATTAAAAGAGCTTAATGGAAAGAATTACCTATGATTGCTGTACTAAACAGCATGAATATTTTTTAGATATAGCTGCATCACTGGTAGCCAAAACTTCAGATGTCAGGCTTCTACTTATTAAATAGATTATATGAAAGCCTGAGGTCTTTGGACAGGTTGATCGGGCCATATGCTTTTAGTTACTCCTTACTTTATTGTTCATATCCATTCATATGCAATTGCCCGTATCCTCTAATAGAAATTTAATCACACATGAAGTGACTACAGATTAATGTGAATGATTTGTGAGAAAACAAATTGGAACTCATACGTGCCAGTAGGCATTGTCCCCTTCAAAGTCACCTCTTGAAGGAGGATACACTTTAGTTGATCTACATTTTATCAAAACATTTGTCAGTTTCTCAGGCCACTCTTGTGAACACAGTAGAGAGAGTTAGTAGAGGTAGCCTAGGTAATATAGTTTTAGGTGAATTCATAATAGAAAGAATGACCAGACCCGCAGAGTAGTCGTTAATGGTTTAATATCCTCTTGGAAGCAGGTCGTTCTGTTAAATGCCTCAGGGATCAGAGGTTGGCCTGTGCTTTTTGTTTACCATGTAGTCTTTTTTTCACCTACTTTAATTAGTAAAAAATAATGACCTTTTTATTGATAGTATCACTGTTCACAATATATATGTATCATTGTGCAAGCATATTGAAGGCTGAAGTAAATGGAAATTGCAACACATGGTTAATATCTTACACTCTGCTGACTTAACCTCTCGTACCTTCTCTTAGCCTTCACAATGAAGAGTTTTATTATATTGTATTACACGTACTTTAAATATACATTTAAATATATGAACATTTTTTGTTTTATGAATTGTGCAGTAAGTACATGTAGATATGACCCTGAGTCCTTTAATTTCATGGAGATTCAGGGTCAGGTTGAGAGCAAGTGAGTTGATATGAACTAACATTACATTTGATGATGTATCAGGTAGTTACAGCAATTGCTGTTATTAGATAATTTTTGCAATACAGATGTGTAGGAAGTTTTATTACATTGAAACAAACTTTACAGTCCTGATTTCTGTGTGTAATCTATTCCCCATCTCATTTTGTTGACCTTTTTTCCTTGCTTAGGTCACAATAAGCCAGTTAAGAAGTGAACTTGCTAAAGGCCCCCAGGAAGTTGCTGTGTATGTACAGGAGCTGCAGAAACTACAAAGTTCGGTTAATGAATTAACTCAAAAAAATCAGGTGAGAATTCTTTTTTTGTTTGGTAGTAATTGATTTTATGTAGCTTATGGTTTTAAACTTTTGGGTTGACTTACATATTTGATATATGTGATGGTTGTGGGAACTTTTAACATTTTTTATTTCCTACCAAAGTATTTTTCATATAAAAGAACACTGAACAATGTTTAGGGTTTTAACTCTTTGTTGTCGTTGTTAGTGCTTTTCTGGGCTTTGGGGAGTTCTCACAGAACCTCAGGTTTCAAACTTCAGGCATTTGATAAAATGGTAATTCAGTGACTGTTGTATTATTTGTTGCATTGGTATAAATCTGAAAAGTCAAGAAGGAAAATCAAGTCAGCAGGAGAAAAAAATGACAGTAGATCAAACTGCCTGAGTGTCTCATTCTTAGCTTATTGTGTGTTCCTTTTTGGCCTTTCAATAGCAGAAAGATGCTTCCTTCCCCCATATCCCCAAAAACATAATAAATATTGTACCTTGACGTTGAAAGCATGTATATAAAGTAATATATCATCTAGAGAAAGGACACTGTAATGCATTTATGTTAACTTAAAAATAATTATTTTATACTAATCCTTACATTATTTGCATGACAATTAAAAATCTAAAAGATTTCAAACTTTTGTATATTATTATGCAAATGATAAACTTTTGTCATGATAATAATAAACTTTTTGATATTAGACTCTTCACATCACGGGACTAAATGTCCTGTGCATTTATTAAGTGCTTACTGTGTGTAAAGCCTTGGATCAAGAGCTGGGGATACACTGAAAGGCACTAACAGCCCCTGCCCTCAAGGACCTCACATCCAGGGAGGTGGCAATCTGCAAACCACTGTGTTCATACAGATAGAAGGGTAAATTGGAGGTAAGGAGTGACACTGAAGAGAAGAGACGTGGGAAAAGCAGCTTGACCAAGTGTGAATCAAGAAGTTTGGTTGGTGTTAGAGACAATATGGTTGGGTGGGTACTGAGGGATCAAATTTCAAGGTTATTTGAAGGAGGAGAAAATACCAGAGATGTGGAATCAGTCTTGGACTTTAATACCAAAAAAGGCAGCTGAAAAGAACAGCAAGAATTACCAGCTTACACACACACATACACATTGAGGTGATTTTTTTTTTTAAAATGTCAATACTTAGTATCCACATTGAGGAACCCTTGGACAAGGGTATTAGGAATCAGGAAGGCTTTTGCTGGCAATATTCCACAGAGCAGACGACTTCTTTACTATTGTGCAGTTTCTGTCTGCAGATCTCCTTGGTTTCAACTCCAAAGAAGAAGATGGCCCCCAAGGAGAAGCTGATTACTTATGATCTTATCACTGTGCTGCTATCTCAGGGGGCCTTCCCTACCTTCTGTTTGGAGGGCTGCAGTGTGGAGCACTAAATTCCTTCCAAAGCTTTCCTTTCTGGAGGGCAGAATTTGGACTTTCCAGCTCTCCACCTTCCATTTGCAGCTCTACTTGGCTTCAACCCCAAAATGCCCTCCTCAACTTCTGGCTTCCTTTTATGTGTTGTTTTCCCTCCTTAGATTGTAAGCTCTTTGAGGGCAGGGACCATCTTTTTTTCTTTCTTTTTTCCATTTGTATCAGCAAATACTAATTAAGCAGTTACTGTGTGCCAGGCACTGCTGGACACTGGATATTTAAGGACAAAATGAAATAGTTTTTGCCCTCAAGTCCCTTATAATCTATCAGGAAAGACAATATATATGTACCTGCACACACATATACACATGTGTGTATATAAATATATACAAAAATATACATATATTAATAAATACAGAAAATAAACAAAAATATATAAACTTAAGATAATATGGGAGGGGTACTCAGTAGTAGCTGAGGGGATCAGGAAAGCTCTCATGTAGATGATTTTAAAAAACCCAAAAAACTTTTGACCTAGTAGAGCAAAATATCACTTTAAAGGCTTTCTTCCAGGAAATTAACTCCTAGAATTATGTCAGAATTATGCAAAATTTATTGAAACAGGAGCAGCTAGGCAGTGCAGTGGATAGAGCACTGGTCCTGGAGTCAGGAGGACCTGAGTTCAAATCTGGCCTCAGACACACAACACTTATTAGCTGTGTGACTCAGGGCAAGTCACTTAACCCCAATTGCCTCACCCCCCCCAAAAAAAATTAAAAAGAAAAATTTATTAAAACATATAAGAGAGATAACCTTGTTTGGCCTTCTTTTTATTATCAGGCAGGACCTAATAAATAAGGGAGACCAAAGGTGTTTTTCTCAGTCATGGAGAAATCTGGCTCATAGTCCAACTTGAAGGATCTCTCTAGATGGTGAGATCTTCCAGGCATGCTCTCTGTTGTTGCTGACTGTATTTATGCCCTGGAACATTGGTACAGTACCGAGTCTCCCATGGGAGAACCATAACCCTCTATTTAGGAAAAAAACAGGTGGATGAAGAATATCTGTTGGTTAAACTATGATAGGTAGTTAAGGTGGCAACTTAACAGAGTTTGTCCACCAAACTGGTGTTGGTATTTGCATCATGGATGGATGCTACAACTGCACAGTGAGTTGGGCCCAGAATTACGCAGGAGGAAGAAAGTAGTCTGGATTGCCTTGGAGAAACTGAAATATTTTTTAATCACTCAACTTTTTAATTAAAGGCCCATCTTTCTAATACTGGTATTCTGCTGATCCTATGGAGATGTTGCATTGATGGTAAGTCATGGAATGCTGTAGTCTTCAAAGGATTGAAAATAAGGATCATTAAGAGGGCAATGGAAAACACATGGCTGCCTAACTTTACAAACCCAGAATCATGAAGAAGACTTGGAGTAAAAGATGTTGTCAGTGAAAGGCATGACCAAAAAATAAATAAATGAGCTGGTCACTTAGTAAAAGAAAGGGATACCAATGGACAACCGATATACTTCCCTGGTATCCTTCTGATATAGAGAGAAAGTGAGAGAAGGCCCTCATATAGTGGGTGGACATTTCTGTGCTGAACTTTTGGGAGGACGTGAGTGAGCGATATGGCTTAGCGCCACACGGGCAAGAAGGAATGGATTGTAATCTGCTTCTCTTTACATGGGTGAGACCAGACATCCATTTCGTGTATTTAAAATAAAATATCTTTCAAATCAAAGATGTGTGGATAGTCCACAGTGCATGTTATTAGAACTAAACATTTTGCTATTCACATAATTGGTGAACTAAAAACAACACAAAACGTTTTCTATTTTTATTTATTGAAGGAAAAGATAAGCTGTCTTACTTTATAAGTCATAGAAATAGGGGCTGGACATATGATTTCATCAGAGAGGGTAAATCTCAAGTGAGGAAGTCCCTCTACCAATACAGGTCAGCACTTTCTCTGCAACTTCTAGTCGTGGAACATTGTCCAGAGCACTCAGTTCAAGTCAGATCTTCTTGACTTCAAAGGCCAACACGCTACCCATATCCACTCTGTCATACTGCCTTCCTGTGAGTCATGAGAATGTTAAAATTTTGATACTATGAATTTTAATGAAATCAGATAGCTGATTTATTTTAGAATAAAAAAATAGTTATTGCCAATACTTTTAGATAAATGTACTTCTGGCTGAAATGTTAATGAAAATCTTATCCTACCTCAAAATATGAGTCATGTACCTTCCTGAAAATGATCAAAAAATGGGAAACTATTTTCAGTATTTTTTGGTTAGCTTTTCACATTCAGATCTAGATGTTGTGCTTTAATAGTTATCAGATTTACTCCTTCCTCTTGATTCTCACAGGCTTTATAATTCTAATCTAAGCTCCTGCTTCCTTGCACCTGGTTTACAAAAATGGTTTTCCTGCCAGTTTCTCTGCTTTTATCTGTTTCCCACTCTATTCTGCCTTGTCTAGAACATAAAAGTAATCTTGTTCTAATCTCTTTAATCATACCATTGTAAAGCCTTGTAATTATTTTCATTTGTTTCTGGAATCATACCAAAATGCTTATTAAGGTCTGTAAGACCCTTTACCTGTTTTTATACTCACTACTTTTATGTTCTTTAGGCTGTGGCTCATGCTGTTAGATGAAAGAGATCTATTGGCCATTTGGATGACATATTTGAGAAGGGGCTCTAGAATTTGTATCTGATCTGGCTTTATTCCCCTGAGCTTCTAGCTGTCTCTGGGATCCCAGTTATGCTGGTTCTTCCTGGATTTTGGAGTCAATAAACTTTTATTAAACACGTACCAGGGACATTTTAAAAGGCAAAAGACAGTCCCTGCCTTCAAGGCACTCCAAGGAGACTGTGCGAAAACAACAGCCTAACTCCAGGATAAATTGAAGATAATCAACACAGTGAAGGCATTAGCCTTAAGGGGCAATCGGAAAAGCTTTCTGTAGAAGAAGGCATTTTAGCTGGGACTTGAAGGAAGCTGGGAAGCAGAGACAAGGAGGGAGAACATTCCAGAGATGAGGGACGGTCTGTGTTTAAATTGAATTCCGTTTAAAAGCATATAAATGAGCGAGCTTAACAGTCTGTTAGGTGGTCTTTGCTGTCACCTAGAATTTAACCCTAGCTAGATTGGTTCTTTGGCACACCTTGCAAATCCCTGGTTCCTTTCCTTTATAGGGTCATAGAATTTAAAGCTTGAAACACTTGAGAGATCATTTATTGTCCAGGTTCTTTGTTTTGCATTTAAGGAGCCTGAATTCTTTTTCATTTCTTTCTGGTTAGTGGCCATGGTTGATACCAGCTTTTATCTGGAGTTCTTCTGCATTTCACAATCAAGTTACTGTAATTACTAGAATTAGAATCCCAGTTTCTTCTTGTAGTTTATCAAGTGTTAACATAGGGGCTGCTAGGTGGCGCAGTGGATAGAGCACTGGCCCTGGAGTCAGGAGGACCTGAGTTCAAATGTGGCCTCAGACACATAACTGTTACTAGCTGTGTGACCTGGGCAAGTCACTTAACCCCAGTTGCCTCACAAAAAAAAAAAAAAAAAAGGAAGTGTTAACATATTCAAGGAAGGTTACATGCTGCAACTTGAACAGT